AAAATAAAATTGTTATTGAAATGGCTTGTTCAGACGATTTGGTCTTTTTGTTCCTCTTCGGGGTTGGGTGTTTTAAAACTGCAATAAAAAATAACAGGAAGGTGGATGGAACACGTGGTGAGTGACCCTTCAAAGACGTCACTTGACCGAAAGCCATTTTGCAATTGCGCTGTCTTGGAAGAAAGCAACGGAATGTACGATCTCAAAGTTGTCTTAAAAAGTATTTGGTGGTACAGTAAGCAGACTGTAATTCCAGGAATGAGCGCAATACTGTGGGTTGCCTTTTTCATTTTTTTGTTCCTTGGGCCACAACCTTCAATGTGTACTTTATGTCAGGACTTTGTCAACAGAACAAATGGGTTGTTGTTCTTCGTCCTGCATATAATTTTCGGTTTACTTTGTTCAATTTGGTATTGGAAAAGGGTCGGGTGGTACGAAAACATGCAAATGACATACGGTTTTGTTATATTCTACGCCCTCATCGTTTGTTTTAAAAAACGCTTTTGTGCGAGAAAATTTCATGAGTGACGTTAAGAGTATTATCGAGACACTTTACGCGTTGCTCCTCGACGAGATGATGAGTAATATTATGGATTTTTATTTAAAAAAATTGATGGAGTTAATGAGTCATCTGAGTGTGTTGTACCTTACTATTTACCCACTCATATTTTCGCTGTTTTGTCTTGGGAAAGATTGTCGGTTTAATATAATCAAAATGTATTTCATTCTCAAAAACAAAGGCAAACGGTTTGTCTACAAAGACACTCCAATACTAATGGCGATGACTCTTATATACTTCACACCGCTTGTGCTCCTCACTTTTGTCTTCGAGGAACAGATTTTTTCTCTCATCAGGACGTCTTTGACGTTTCCCTTTTATTTTGTCCTTTCAATTTCCACCCTTAAATGTCCTATTGTTCCGACAAACTCATTTTTGAGAGAGAACAGCAGAAAGACACATTCATTTAACTTTTTTTTGTGATTATTTTTGTTTTTAATAACAATATCTAATTCTAATTATTTTAAATTTATTGTTTTTTCTATCATTGTATGTTATTAGTTATCTTTAATTTAAATATAATATGAATTTAAGTATTTAAAATATGATTCACTTGTGTGCAGAGGTTTCCAAAATCACAATCCTAATTACCCACGTCACCATTTCATAACCAAAATGTTCATTTTCTCTTATAAATTCGTACGTTATAATACCACATTTTCGGCAATAATTA